ATTTTTTCAAATTCATTAAAATATATAACAGAATAAGTAAATAAAAAATCACAAATTAGCATGATTTTAAAATATGCTAAAAAATGTCACCTAATGTACTTAAAACAGCTTGTACCTCAGGGCTATTCCTAAATGTCTGCCTCCGCCTCCAAGACACAGACACACTCACACACCTTCCTTCCCCAACTGCACTGCCTCAACTCCTTAAGTATCAGCTTAAATGTTACTTTTCCATACACCCCAAAGACAAGATATGAATCCTGTATTACAAATGCTCATTACACACTGCATTTTTCCTTGGTAATAATGGTGACAACTCTCAGTAAATCATTATTCTGTTTGATAGTTATTTCCACAGGAAAACTATAAGCTCCATGAAGGTCAGGACCATCTGTCTCATTCATTCTTACAGTTCCCTACATTGAAAACTCTGCTTCAATGAGAGAACCATTTGTGTTAAATACATAAAGAATTATAACACAAGAAAAGCAAAATGGATTCCAAAACAAATGAGATTCTTGATTTCACTGCAAACTGCGCATTCCATGAAAGACACAATCTTATAGATCCGGCATCAAACAATCAAACTGAGTCAAAATTACCTTATTGTACTGGCCATAAAAAATCAATGGTGGCCGGCGCGGTGGCTCACGCCTATAATCCTAGCACTCAGGGAGGCTGAGGCAGGCGGATTGCTCGAGGTCAGGAGTTAAAAACCAGCCTGAGCAAGAGCGAGACCCCGTCTCTAGTATAAATAGAAAGAAATTAATTGGCCAACTAATATATATAGAAAAATTAGCCGGGCATGGTGGTGCATGCCTATAGTCCCAGCTACTCAGGAGGCTGAGGCAGTAGGATAGTCTCAGCCCAGGAGTTTGAGGTTGCTGTGAGCTAGGCTGACACCATGACACTCACTCTAGCCTAGGCAACAAAGTGAGACTCTGTCTCAAAAAAAAAAAAAAATGGTGCTCAAACATTTATTGAGCACCTAGGTAATATGTTCCAGGCATTATGTATGGAGTAAGACAAATCATCTACCAAAATAGCAAATCCAAGAAAGTTCATTTCAACCTTCCACTGTTTTAAAACCTTAAATAACAATAAAAGGCACAAGGGGAAACAGTTACCTTTATGATTATTTAAATTCCCTAATCAACTGTGCATCAATTACTGGAAAACTGAATATAGAGGCACTAGGTACAAAAAGGCAGAGGCTGATGTCTGAACATGCAAAAGTGCTGAGTAGGGTACAGGGTGAGGAAAAGCTCAAAATAGGAAGTGGCATCAGCCTTCTGTTTAATATTACAATTAATATGGTATTATAAGAAATAGAATTCTACTTATACAGTAGCATGTTGCTCCAATGTAAGGCTGATATGAAACTATAAATGGACTTGTTCAATTAACCATTATTACAAGTCCACAAATGAAATTTCAAATTTAATAATAAATTATAAGCTCCTCCCAGGCAAATCTCATCCTTTGTATAGTCAGAGGTAGTAGTGCATAGTAAATGCAAACACTTGCTGATTGATCTGCTCATCAGGTGCACTCAGCTTTAAAGACCACATAATAATAAATCTATACGTCAGTTGGACATCTTATCTGTCTTTTTTTTAAAAGGAAGGTGGTTAGACACAATCTAAAAAAATCCACTACCATTAAATTCCAAACTCAAAGCACATGCTCCCAGTCAAAAATGGCTAAATGGATTACAATGTATATATTCCTTTATTAAACTTTGGTTCTGACTTTTTATTTATAGAATGAATGACTTAACCACATGGAAAATTTTTTCAAGTTTTTATCCTTCCACCTATGATATAATCAAAACATACATCTTTAATTTCTAAACATGGACATGGTCATGGGTAGCTTATTTAACTCATTCGAAATCAAAGTCCTAACTACTTGCAATATTCTCCACTAAATAGACAAATGAAACTGTCATAGACCTACATCAAAAATTGAAATGATATTAATAAATATTTAATACTCAGACCAGAACCCAACTGAGTTGATACTCAGATAAACATAACCCATCCAAATGGCAGAACTCAGTTTATTAAAATGGGCAGCATGGCATGAGGGAGTGGGCTTCCAAGAAGTCTCAGTTCTGTAACCTTAAAGCAGTTACTCAACTCTGAAAACAAATCTAGAACTCTGCAAAGGTTGGTTACAATTGTGTGTATCTAACAGGATATAAACATGCTGTTCTCAGAAAACAGGTGTATTTCCATTTATACAAAAGCCACATGAACATACACAAAGCTTTATGTATATTTTTATGAGGTCATTTAAATTTATAAAGCTTATTAAAGGCAATCATATAGGGAAGTATATAATACTAACATTACCCACTCTTTTAAAAAAGACCTTTTTTCTAAAAGACTTTCACAGACCAGGTTTTAACTGAGGTATGCTTGTGTCTAGCTACGTACAATATATTAATAGAAGCAACTAGTTCCAAGCCAATCTTGCCTACTTCATTACACCAATATAAAAACAAATTTTATTTTATACAGCCTTTCACTCAAGACTTTAATGTTAAAGAATTCTACAAATACAATGTCATTCCACAGCAACTCCTTTTATCAAAATAAGCAGTCTTAGGAACTCAGTTAAAAGATTTATCCAAAATCACACAGAATAGCATAGGGCCTATCCCATTAAAATAGTCACATTTTAGAAATATGTTATATCAAACAGTAAACACATTAACCAATGCCTATTTTAGTGACCTTAAAGTACCTCTCTAACTATATCAAGTATCTTAAAATATTAACAATCACTTGTATAGTGTATATTTAGTGGTATACTTTCTTAGGACACTTAAAAAAAGAAAACCTCCCAATACTAGACATGGAGAAATACTGGACTGAAATTAAATACCTAGCACACTTGGAATACCTAAAAGTCTGTCTATATCCAAAACTTCAGCTCTAACATTTGCAAAACTCCACCCACTAACATCTCCAGAATCCAAAAACAAACAAAAAAAAGCTTATGTCACTGCATTAAAGTACCAGGTAAAAACAAACTGGCAATCTAAAAAGTTAGCAAAACACCTTGTTATCCCCAATTAAACTTCTGTGGTGAGAAACAGTGACTAAGCATAAAGACATGTGATTCAGCGAAAACTGCATATTAAAATCTAGCCCTCAGAAAAATCCTGAAGGCATATTTTATACTACTCTTTTCCTTTTGTCATGTCAACTACTGGACTGCTTTGGAAAACCCTAATATGAGCAAATGCAAAGCCTGCTACTATAATTTAATAGGTTTCTGAAGGAAATCACACAGTATTGAAATTTAGCAAATAGAAATTAAAACTTAGTTTGGATTTTTGTATTAAAGGAGTTTTAAGTTAATCTACATTGATATCAGAATGCCCATAAATAACTTCATCTTGGATCCGAGTCAATAACGTAATCATGGAATAAAAGGTCAATTCGTTCCCAAGCATCTTTTATCTGGGTCTTACGACAGGGCTCAGAAAGAAAAACAAGAGAAAGGGAGAGGGAAATGGAGTACTAGAACCATGGTAAACACATACTGTTCCGCCTGTCTGCCTCTAGGCTCCCAAGCACACACGTTAAAAACAGACCCACAAGAGATTACTCTGAATCTAGCATGCGCTCTCTGTATCCCTTCCAAGCAATGTACTTCCAAGGAGCAGGACACAAATAACACAACCGCTCAGGTCTGAAAAATCAGGAAGTTTCCCTTTAACAAGGACTGAGGCTAAGGCTAATCCTCACACTTCCATGAATGGAAAAGTTACCAACTTCGCTCATCCCGTGGAGATAGTTGATGATTCCTCCAGGTCTTACTTTAACCCGTTTGTCCCCAAAGAACCCAAGTTTCTAAAAGCCAAACGGAACGAGAAGCTGGGTTTCCTTCAAGATTTTTAGGGTCTCCTAAGTTTAACTCCTCCTTCCGCCCTTCCCAACAGACACGCAAACTGGGGTGACACGGGGGTCAGTGCCCTCGGGGTGGGGGTCGGTGCCCTCGGGGTGTGGGTCGCCATTTGCTGACCGCCTCAACGGCCGGCCGGGCGCGAACACCGGCGCCGGCCGCGGACGCCCTCACTGCGCGCCCGGACGGCCGCCCCGGGACACGCACCGGCCCGGCTCGGCGCAGTGTTTCCTCCACTCCAGGCCCGGCCCGCCGACCGCACGGCCGCCGCCGGCGTCTCCGCCCCGCCGCGGGCCTCGCACGGCCTCCCCTGCGGGCCTCCCGACACTCACCGGCCGGCGCGGCCGAACCGCGGCCCAGGCCCTGGCTGCCGTGGCCGCCGTGCCCGGCTGCCCCGCGGTGTCCCGGCGACGCTCCGAGCCCCACACCCCCGTCCGGTCCACCTCCTCCGCGCCTCTCCCCCCGCCGGGCCGCCGCCTTTTCTCTTCTCCTCTGCCTCCCGCAACGCGGCCGCCCTCTCGCCGCGCCCCGCCCCGCTCTGCCCCGCCCACCCGGCCGGCTTCGGCCGCAAGCCCGGCGGGGGCGCGCACGCAGGGCCCGGCGGGGACGCGCACGCCGCCTCTGACCCCGCAGCGACGTGGCAGAGAGTAGGGTCGGGAGAGCCTCAGGCTTTGGCGGGTTTTGCTGCGGGTTCCTGGGGCGCCCCATAGAGTTCCGATCTGGCGGTGCTGCGAAAACCTGTTCAGTTTAGAATCTTGTGTTCCTGGATGGAATCCTGACCCCTGATTTCACAGTTGAGGAAACAGGCCCGAGTAGAATGACTTGTTCGCCTCGCCGGCTGTGCGAGAAGCAGCCCAGAGCTCCTGACTCCAGGGCAGTGCTTCTCCCGTTAGCTCCGATTCGGAGGCGGTCGGTCAGCTCTCGCTCGACCTTTGATGATTGCAGCCACTCCTCAGGCCTTCCCGCCAGCTAACTCAGCGTACCCAAACCGAGTCCTGTGACTGAGTGCCGGGACGTGCTGTGACCCTTGTAGGGTTCCAGCTCCCCGGGACCGGGCGCAGCTCTGCCTTGAGGCGGGCGGCGGAGCCTTTCTGGAGCCCTGACGGGGCAGCCCACCGAGGTCTGCTTCTGTGAGGGACTGAGGCATCCTCCCCGAAGGTAATCTGGCTGGAAAGGGGGCTTCATGCTGTTTTTGCAGGATACCTTACGTATGATACCACACGGCCATATCAAAGAATGGGTATCTATGCCCCCCGCTACTACCACCGACCCCTGGTCTAAAGCCAAGGGACAAAGGGGACAGTGACTCAGTAAGGGGTAGTGGGAGTCCCTTACCCCGCCCCCACCCCGTGTCCCTTCCGGGGACTCCTGCCCACTCCTGTCTCAAAAGAACTGTAACAAAGAGACTATGGCTGTAATCCTGGCAGTGGGGGTGGAGACAGAGGCAGGAAAACCCTATTTTGTCATTCTTTCTGCGGCTACATTTTTTACCCCTTATTGTGCCTTGGAAAAGACAGCTAACACATAGTTTGCTCTCCTGCAGAGAAATGATTCTCAGACTTTGGGATTTTAAAGACCAGTAAATTAAAACAAAAAAGCTGATACCTTTTTTAAATTGCCTGTTTTTCTTATTTTCCCTGATTTGGTTGCAGACAGGTCCTGGTCCTCAGTCCAGAGTATGAGAGGTACTGTGCAGAGAGCTAGAGAGGATGGTGAAGCAAGCAGGACGGTCTGGGGGGAGAAGAAGAGGGTTCTGCTACACTATTGCCCCACTTTGTGCTCACTGTCCTGGGCTGAGTCACACACCCTTCTTTTGCTTCAGTTGCCCTCCTATAAAATAATGGGGCTAGAATAGATGATCTCTAAGGCCCTTTCCAGTTTTAAAACCCCATGATTCCATGATTGTACTCACTGCAATCTGGGGCTTTCCCCTTTGCTAAGTCACCTAGCTGACACTAGGTCACCTCTCCCACCTCAAGCTGAGTCATTCAGGTTGGAAACCTCACCATCTTCTTTCTCCCTCCATCTCAATAATTTTCGATGTTTAAATCCCACTCCCAAGGGAAAAAAAAATGCTTTCTTCCTGTCTTTCATATTCATCCCTAGTTACCCTCTTAAATAAATTTGTATTTATGCTTTTGCCTAACCAGTCTTTCTCCTCCAGTGTTTCCTACCTCAAATATACCATCAACACAGTTCCACCCATTTCATCTTTTTATTTTTCTATTTTAATAGAAATAATAGGATGGTGTCTTAGTACATTTAAGCTGCTATAACAAAATACCACAGACTGAATAACTTATTTCTATATTTATTCAAATTTTTTAATTTTTAGTTATGGGTACATAATAGTATATATTTATTGGGTACATGTGATGTTTTGATACAGGCATACAATGCATATTAATCAAATCAGGGTAATTGGGGTATCTGTCACTTCAGGAATTTATCATTTCTTTGTATTAGGAACATTCCAATTCCACTCTTTTCGTTATTTTAAAGTATACCATAACTTATTGTAGTCACTTTGTTGTGTTATTGAATATTATTCATTCTAACTATCTAACTTTATTTTTGCACCAGTTAATCATCCCCACTTTACCCTCCCCTCTCTGTTACCCTTCCCAGCCTCTGATAGCCATCATTCATTCTACTCTCTGTCTCCATGAGATCAGATTGTTTAACATGAGAGATTTGTCTTTCTGTGCTTGGCTTATTGTTTCACTTGACATAAATGTTCTCCAGTTCCATCCATGTTGTTGCAAAGGCAGGATTTCATTCTTTTTAATAGCTATATAATATTACATTGTGTATATATATCACAATTTATCCATTTGTCCATTGATGGACACTTAGGTTGATTCCAGTTCTTGACTATTATGAATAGTGCTGCATGCAGTAAACATACGAGTGCAGACACCTTTTTGATATACTGAATTCCCTTCTTTTGGATATATACCTAGAAGTGGGATTGCTAGGCCATATGGTAGTTCTGTTTCTAGTTTTTTGAGCAACCATACCGTTCTCCATAGTGATTGCACTAATTTACATTCCTACCAACAGTGTACAAGAGTTCCCCTTTCTCCACATCCTTGCCAGCATTTATTATTGCCTGATTTTTTGATAAAAGCCATTTTTAACTGTGGTAAGATACCTCATTATAGTTTTGATTTGCATTTCTCTGTTGACTAATGATGTTGAGCATTTTTTAGTATACATGTTGGCCATTTGTATGTCTTCTTTTGAGAAATATCTATTCATATCCTTTGCCTATTTTTATAGGATTATTTTATTTTTTCCTATCGAGTTGTTAGAACTCCTTATATATTCTACTTATTAATCCCTTGTCACATGGGTAGTTTGAAAATATTTTCTCCCATTCTGTGGGTTGTCTCTTCACTTTGTTGATTGTTTCCTTTGCTGTGCAGAAGCTTTTTAGCTTGATATGATCCCATTTGTCCAATTCTGCTTTGGTCGCCTGTGCTTTGGGGGAATCATTCAAGAAGTCCTTGCCCAGTCCAGGGTCCCAAAGCATTTCCTCAATGTTTTCTGTTAGTAGTTTCATAGTTTCAGGTCTTAGATTTAAGTCTTTAATCCATTTAATTTGATTTTTGTGTATGGTAAGAGATAAGGGTCTATTTTCATTCTTCTGCATATGGATACCCAGTTTTCCCAGCACCATTTATTGAAGAGACTGTCCTTTCCCCAGTGTGTGTGCTTGGCAACTTTGTCAAAGATAAGTTCATTATATTTATGTGGGCTTATTTCCGGGTTTTCTACTCTGTTCCATTGGTCTATGTGACAGACTAGATAATTTATAAAGAACGGAAATTTATTTTTTCTCACAATTCTGGAGGCTGGAAAGTTCAAGATCAAGGAACCAGCAGGTTCAGTTGTCTGGTAAAGGTCCCATCTCTCCTTCCAAGATGGCACCTCAAACACTTCATCCTGCAGAGGGGAGGAATGCTGTGTCCTCACATGGCAGAAGATAAAAGGGCAAAAAGGGGTGAACTCCCTTAACCAAACCCTTTTATAAGGGTACCTGATTCCATCCATTAGTGGAGAGCCCTTATGACTCAATCACCTCCCAAAAGCCACACTTCCCAATACTGTTGCACTGGGGATTCAGTTTCAACATGAATTTTTGAAGAGGACAAAAGCATTCAGACCACAGCAGATGGATATCTAGTGCCCATGGGATAAAGTCTCAACTCCTGTCCTCAATTGCTTAAAGTAAATCATTCATTCTAGCCAGATTAGTTTTCTTCTTTTCTCCACCAAACACTATGCACAGTCCAATTCCAAGCCACTTCTGCTTATACAGTATTATGATAGACCTAAGATTCCTACCTCGTAACTGTACAGCTCTAAGAGGCTTCTGTAGCAAATACTATCTATTTGCAGCACTTCCACATGTGCCAAATGGCACTGTTACCTGTTTCACAAATCTTTGTCAGCTCACAGATTATCTCCCAAATTCATGGAAGCAGGTTTTGCATCCCTCTTTAATCTCTCCTGAGTATCTAGTACATACCATGTATATATAGACACTTGATGAATTTTTGTCACTTGAAAAATAAAATGTTTACTTTTCCTTTCATCCTCTCCCTATTTTCTATGTACTGTCTATTTACCATCTGGTGCCATTTCAAGGAATTTATCTAAAACTTAAGTGGTGAGTAGAGACAATGCCAGGAATCACAAGTGTCTTCAAATATGCCCTTTCTCTAATATATGTGTATTTTGACACAAACTTCTAGAGGAAAGCTCACATCTGTGTGGTTTAACCCCATCTAGAGAAGTGACAAGGACCCTGGAAACTTAAGATAAAAAAAAAAAAAGAGGAAAGGGCAGTACTCAGTCTGACCTGAGAGGAGGGCCTTGCCTGCTCCTCACATCACACCCTGCAGGCTGTCCACACAGGCTTGGACAAGGCATAGCTCCTACTGGCTTTTTCTAGAGGCTACTCTCAAGTTGGGAAAGGTATAAGAGCCATAAAGATAAAAATAATGTAACACCTATACACAAGACTACATTAAAAGAGAGAGAAGTTATTAAAGAAAACAGATTTAGCTGATAAAGAAAGCAAATTTAGCAACCAGACAAATTGCTCTTCCGTTTGTTCCACATGAGGGCAAACAGCTTCTGTGTTCAAGTGGGTTTTCTTTCCCAATTAGACCAGCCTGCACTCAGGTAGCTAGGGGCCGGGACTAAAGTTTAAGTCATATTCTAATTAAGGAAAGCATCCTTGCCAGAGACAAGTGTGAGGGCCGATTTGCAGCTGTGAAATCATGGGACAATCGGAATTACCAGCTGGGACCGTGGGGGAAATACCATTCCTCTTTTATGATATGCTTCTAAGGAATTACAAGTGAGAAAGAGCCAGTTTGAATCACCTAATTGCCAGAGTCTAGAATCTAGTAGCTATAATTATATTTCCTCTACAAGTTCACTTGAAGTATTAAGAATATGATAATTAACATACAATTATATGGTAATTTAGAAGCAGTCTGCCAAGGATACTGTTCATAACCCCAAATCAACCTTGCAGTTTTATATAAATTATCAAGGGAATTTGAACCAAGGCAGCCTGTAGTGTTAGAAAAGTAGAAGACCCAGGTTTTGTTTCTGTACACTATAGACTTGCTGTAGGACATTGTTGAAATTATCTATCATGTGCATTTCAATATTTCACAACTTGCATTATTATAATTAGATGTATTGATTGATATGGTGCCTAGCTTATATAATATATGTTTATTAAACAAAGAAACAATAATTCTATTCCCAAAAAGGCCGTGCCTCCAAAGTATCATATTTGCATTTCAGGTAGCTAGCACTAGTTGGTATTACTTTGTGCTTGACCAGGTGAGCAGGTAGCCTTCTCCCAGGCGGGGATAATGAAGACATCCTCTTAGCTGTCAACAAATACATATGTAACTTTGTTAAACTAATAGTACTTTTTCATAGTGCATTTTTAGATAATGTCTCATTTCTAGGTATAAATTTCTCATTATTCAAAGAATTTGGTATAGATTAAATATCTGGTAGAAAACACTTTTAATTTACCCTGTAAGTGGGCTTACTATTTCAGTTCTCAGGCCTATGTTCCATTGCAGAGGTAGCAAAGTCAAATGCCTCTAGCTAAATGCCTTGTTAGTAACAAGAAGTGGGTTCAGCCAAGCACATTGTTATTAACTTATTACTTAGCTCTAGTCAATAGCTGTTGCCATGTAAGAATGGAGGAGGTAGTGGTACCATATCTTCTGATTATTTCTTTAAGCTCTCAGAAATTCAGATAATTATGTGAAAGCCACATAATTTGTTTTCAAATATTTTAAAATGCTTTGTGGGGGAAAAAACCAACCACCACAAAAAAGCCTACATCTTTAGCAACCTTTGTCTTAATGACTCATCCACAAGATGATGAAAAAGAAGTTCATACTTATTTCTATGCACAGCCTGATTTCCAAATCATTTGAATCTCACTTTCCTCTGAAGGTAGATTTCCTGTGCTCATATGCTGGCTTAATTGTCTATTAGTTAACAGTCCCAGGAAGTTATTTAATTTCTCTGAGAGTGGAAGCAAACTCAGATGGCTCCCAATGACCCTTGCCTCCTAGTATTCACATATTTGTGTAATCTTCTCTCAAATGTGGAGAGAAGCTGTAATTGCCTCTAATCAATACAAAGATTGTTACTTTTGTCTTGCTGGCAGACTCTCGCCCTACCTGGCTTTTATGAAAAAAGTTGTCATGTCAGGGAGGCCCACATGGCATAAAACTGAGGGTATTCACTGGACAGCCACTAGCTAGGAATTGAAGCCCTCAATTCAACATCCCAAAGGAACTGAATCCTGCCAATGACTGTCTATATGAACTTGGAAGAAGATCCTTTCCCAGTCAAACCTTCAGATGAGATTCTAACCCTGGCCAACACCTTGCATTGCTTGCTCATGAGAGACCTTACAGCAGAGGCCTCCACTAAGCCATTCACAGAAAATGTGACACAGTAAGTATTGGTTGTTTTAAGCCACTAAGTTTGTGGCCATTTGTTGCATAGCAATAAATAACTAACACACCATACCTTAATTTTTTTCATCTCTGAAATAGGAAAGAATAGTACTTTCCCCCACCCCCAACATGTGCTGGTATGAGGGTTAAATGCATTAATACCTGTAAAATCTTAGAACAGTGACTGGCACTGTGAGCTGCAATAGTGTTGGGTGTCTTTTCCTCACCCAGATCCTAAAGGTGAAGGAATCTTAGCAAAGAAGGGTGGCAGACAGAAGCTGAAAGGGCTAATTCTGTGCTTCTTCAAGACCAAATGATAGATTGTGACATCATGTTGGGCAAAGGGAAATTCTTTCCTACTTTGTGTATTACCATGGGGCGACTTTGCTGCAGACAGAGCAGCAGGGCTGCAGGGGCACCTGTGAAAGCCAGGGGAGCTGTGTCCTCATCCGGGTAGAGGCTTGGCCTTGCCTTTGGTGGTCTGGGCAATGAGAAAGAAGCTGCACACAAGGTCATTAGTGGATTTATTCTTGAGCACTTCTGACACACTCTCAGGGAAAACCCAGAAACAACTGAGTCATCCTGTGTGATGAGCCTCTGAGGGTCAGTTAGTCCTCTCACTAATATGTGTCACTGAAACCTCTGCTAAGCCTTGTAGTTAAGCAAATCTGATAGCCCCCAACAGGCCAAGGGACAGGATCTGTTGTTTATGTAGTTTACTCTTGTATCCCCAGAACCTAGAGAAGTATGATATAGTTGATGTTAAATAGTTGGCTAAGTGATGTTTGTGTTACACCAATAATTATAAATTGTTGTTGCTTCATTCTTTGAGATGGCAGCACAGTTTTCACAGCCCTTTCTCTGATCCTACACCTTGACAACAAAGGAAAGAGGATGCATAATGATGTTGGAAAACAAGCTCACCTGCACACAGTTACTACCTTGGCACATTTCTGGGAGCAGGAACAAGCTAATAGTCCTCAAGGTCAATGAATTATCTTCCTCCACTCCACTGAAATATCTAAGGTGACAAGTTAATTGTCTTTCTAAGACAGAATATTTCTTGAATAAATTAATTAGCCAGCATTACTTCCATTTCTCCTAGGTTATACAAACAATTCAGGATCTATTCAGAGTATGGAAGGTGGGACTAAAGAAAAGAAATGTGTATAAGCAAATCAACAATAATGGGTTGATATTAATGACCCCTTAAGGTAGAACAAGTCATTGCAGCACAAAAGACTCTATCACATAAATCCTGAAATTAGAAATGTAGATTCGGGTGTCGGGCAGGTGGGAGAGGGGAGGAGGGGCATGGCCAATGTATGTAACCTTAACATTTGTACCCCCATAATATGCTGAAATAAGAAAAAAAAAGAAATGTGGATTTGGGGGAGTTTTCCCATCAAAAAAGAATTAGTCTTCCAGAGCAGGGACGAAGGAATGATAAGACCTAAAAAGAGCCTTTCTAATTTGCTTTTGCAGTATAAAAAGGGTTAAAGGTGCGCATGTTTTCCATTCCTAGCAGCTTACAAAGTTGAAGCTAGTACCCAGCAAATGATCCCCTGATTCCTCTCTGGACTGACTTTTTCTTGAGGAAAACAAAACTTCAGGAGAGGTATGTGTCTTCTTGTTCTCTTCCTCAAGGTTGGGAAGTCTGAAGTCTGCCCAGTAGTGTGAAAGGCAAGTGCTCTGGGCGGGTAAAAATGTTAGCAGTTTGTTCATTTGGTAGTTATGAGGTCTTCTGGAATCGCCTATTAAAAGACAACCTTAAAATGGCCAGTATTTATTTACAAGGATAATGGACAGTTGGTAGCAGAAGAGGAACTGAGGTATGGGAATGGAAGATTCCAAGTGCCTCAATATGGTGAAGAGGAGGTGGAGGCCTCCAAAATCTATCTCTGAATGTTTACTTCCTATTCGTTGCAAGTATGGACTCTGCTGAGAACCTAAGTCTTCCACACAACAGCTTAAGTCTAAGTCTATACCTGTTTCCCTGTTTCTTTTTCATATGAATTGCATAATAAGATGTGATATATCAAAACTACATAAGTTATAACTCTGATTTTTATCACCCTCAATTTGCTTTCACATTTTGGGGCAAAGTTTTATCCATGTAGAAGTTTCATTGAGTTTCTAGACACAAAGCAAGAGGCCAAAGTACTTGCCCTTAATATCCTTTTTACAGAAACCCTGGAGCTAGCTTCACTGGCATTGTATGTGCCCTAAGGCATTATTACTTTTTATGTCACTCATATTTTGTAAATAGAAAGGTCAATAAAATCAATTTCAGAGCCAGGACCAGAGTCTAGGACCCCTGACTCCCACATAATGTGATTCAGTTAACAAGATATTGAAAATAAACATACTCAAACAAAAATTAGATTAACCCTAAATTGACTTGCAGCTCACTGATCATATGCTTAATTTGATTTCCAACCTGAAATGGAAAAATCTAAAGCAAGCCTACACGAGTCATTCATTAAAGCCCATGTCACCGCAAACCAAACGCCTCCTTATCTTCTTTGGCTGTTTATTTTGTCCCCACGTCTCTCTCAGACACTCCAGAGTTGAACCAGCTTGCCACACCCCAATTCTGCTGACTCACTTCTCAGTATATCTTATGCGGAGAAATAGTATAAACAACATATGCTTCTATTTCTTGTCTTCCTCAGTGAGGTCACACAATAACATTCCTTGGAGAAAAAGAACAGACTAATGCCTCAGTACTAGGATAATTTCAGTTGTTTCCCACATTTGGTTAAATGTTTCTGTTTGTAAAAGATCATAAACATTTGTGAAATAGAAATAAAAGACTTCAGAGAGAAACAGAAAGCAAATAGTACTTCACAGGGCTGGCTTAATGCAAAGTACATCAAAGTAAATGCACCTGAACTAGTTGTCGTGGAGGCTCATGGTTTAGAAGACCCTGACTTGGTATAATATGAACAGCAACATCAAAGCATTCTTGACTTGAACTAAGATATCTGAAAAGACATGGATCTTCAGATCACGGATGGGGGTGAGGGATAAAGGAATCTACAGAGACAGGGGACCTGATCAAGAAAGTCCTTTTTATTGTCTATGGGGCCCTGAAACATAAGCCAGGCTAAGGACATCCACAATAACTTTCAGCCTCAGCTAGACTTTTTTCAGTAAGAGCAGGTCCCTGAAACAGAAGGGCTGCAACTGGACCACACATCAGGTCAGGAAAAATATTCCTACTTTCTACCTTCTGCTCTTGCCTTTGCCCTTGAAGTCCTGGCTTGGAAACCAGGACTTGCTCTGCTATTTTCACTAGCAGAGGGAAGTTCTTCTCAAAAAAAGTCAAGTGAATCTATCTTGATAAGTACAATTGAACTATGCTAATTTTAGGTGACGTGCCCCCTGTGTTTGTGCCATGTATTTATAATCATTTCAAACTGTTTTTATAATAAATTATTGTAACTTCACTATAAATCTCATGAGTTACTCAAGTTATCCCTACTTAGCATTTGGGGATATAGGGATAAAGAGCATTTAAGTGAAGTACCCAAGGTCTCACAACACAGAACTGGAAGTAGAGCTGGGGTTTCCTGATTCTTATTTGTTCACTTTCAGGAACATCTGAGTTATACACACACACACACACACACACACACACACACACCCACACCCATAAAGACTAGCAAATAAGTTGGACTTTAGAGATTATTAACCTTACCATTTTGTGAGTGAAGACACCAAATCCCTGTCCAAGGCCACAGTGTTAATCATTGGCAGTGTCAGAACAGCTGGGACTTTGCAGACTTATGTTTGACACCCATACCACTTTGATGCAGTACCTTGCATTAAAAAGAGCAAAATATCATACTGTCCTAATGCTTCCTTTTTCAGTGTTTAGACTATTTTCCTTTTAGAGTTGTGTAGCTTACAACCTGCAAATCCAAATGAAGTGGCCATGTATGGACTATCTCTATATTCTTCCTACAAATGATATATAGGGTAATAAGTGACCAAGTTTCCTTGCATGTAAGGAAAACTCTACCACTTTGGGGTGGCAACAAAATTATTTAAAACCATGAGTTTCTGTGTGCATGAAGAGGAAAGGGTATAGATAATTAAAGTGGACTTTGGTGATGAAAAGATAGGAACTAGGTCCTGAACCTACTCTATAGGCATTTGGGATTCATGGGCCAAGGACAAGGAGTTTAGGGGAATAAGAATGGCATCTATGGTGACTGTAGAAACAAATAGATCCTAGAAGGGGGAACAAAACAAAAACACTTTCTTCACATGTTTACAGTGGTGTTCAGATTGATGTAGATTAGAAAGATAATTTCTAATGTTAGATTGAAAGGCACCTCAAAAAGTCATCTCTATTGTGATAGTATTTTGCTGTATTTGTGCTTTAGAGAGCAATGACTTTTTTGGTCTCATTTTATACACGAATCCATTTAAATAATAAACCACACTATGATTGGTTTGTTGTACTATAAACTATATAAGAAATAAACATTACTTACTTTTTTAAAACACAGGGAAAAAGTCTTTGAGATCAGATTTGGAAATAAGACATTTGAGCTTTAAAAAAATTGCCACAAAAATTCCAAGAAAACAATTCCATTTATAATGGCTACAAAAACAATGAGATACTTGAGCATAAACTTAACCAAGAAAGTGAAAGATCCCTACACTGAAAACTATAAAACATTGATGATAGAAATTAAAGAGGACAAAAATAAATGGAAGCATATCCCATATTTATGGGTTGGAAGAATTAATATTGTTAAAATGACCATACTACCCAAACTAATCTACAGATTTAATATAATCCCTATCAAAATACCGATGAAATTCTTCACAGAAATAGAAAAAAAAAAAAAAACCTAAAATTTATGTGAAACCACAAAAGACCCCAGATAGCTAAAGCAATCCTGAACAAAAAGAACAAAGCTGGAGGCACCACACTACCTGACTTCAAAATATACTATAAAGCTATAGTAACCAAAAGCATGGTACTAGCATAAAAACAGACTCACGGACCAATGGAACAAAATAGAGAGGTCTAGAATAACTTCATGAACCTACAGCCAACTGATTTTTGACAAAGGTACCAAGAACACACACTGGGGAAAGGATAGTGTCATCAATAGGTGATGCTAGGAAAACTGGATATCCGGGTCCATAAAAATGAGACTAGATCCCTACCTCTCACCATGTACAAAAATCAACTCAAAATGGATTAAAGACATAAATGTAAAACCCAAAATTATGAAACTACTAAAAGAAAACTTAGGGAAATGCTTCACAACATTGGGCTGGACAAGGATTTTTTAAATAAGACCTCAAAAGCACAGGCAACAAAAGCAAAAACAGACAAATGGAATTGCACCAAACTAAAAAGCTTTGGCACAGCAAAGGAAACAATTAACAGAGTGAAGAGAAAACCCACAGAATGGAAGAAAATATTTGCAAACTATATTATCTGACAAGGGGTAATATCCAGTATATGCAAGAAACTTAAAAAACTCAACAGCTAAGAGACAAATAAAGGGCGAAAGACCTGAATAGACAATTCTCAAAAGAAGACACATAAATGATAAATGGCCAACAGGTATTTGAAAAAAAGGTGGACATCACTAATCATTAAGGAAATACAAATCAAAGCCACAAGGACATACGACCTCACTCCAGTCAGAATGGCTATAATTAAAAAGACAACAAGTATTGGCAAGGATGTGGAGCAAAGGGAGTATGTATACACTGTTGGCGGGACTGTGAATTAGTACAGACATTATGGAAAACAGTTTGAAGTTTACTTGAAAAATTAAAAATAGAGCTACCACATGGTCCAACAATCCCACTATAGAGTATATATCTGAAGGAAATTAAGTCAGAATGTTCAAGATCTATCTGTACTCCCATGTTTATTGCAGCACTATTTATAATATCCAAGGTATGTAATCAATCCAAGTGTCAATAGTGAATAAATGGATAAAGAAAATGTGATATATGTGTGTGTACATATATATATATATATATATACACATATATATAATGGAATACTATTTGGCCATAAAAAAGAATGAAATCCTGTCATTTACAAGACCATGAAAGAACCTGGAGGACATCATGTTAAGTAAAATAAACAAAGCAGACACAGAAAGACAAATAACCACATGATCTCACCCATATGTGGAATATTAAAAAAAAAATTGATATCGTAGAAGCAAAGAATAGAACAGAGAATGGAGAGGGAAGGGACGTGAGGAGAATGAGGAGACCTTGGTCAGTGTACAAGGTTACAATGAGATAGGAGGAATAAGTTCTATTACACAGTAGAGTGACTATGGCTAACAGTAAGATATTGTATATTACATATTGCAAAATAGCTATTAGAAAGGGGCAGGACACAGTGGCTCATGCCTGCAATCCTAGCACTCTTGGAGGCTGAGGTGGGAGGATTGCTTGAAGTCAGGGTTCGAGACCAGCCTGAGCAAGAGCAAGACCCCATCTCCACTAAAAATAGAAAAATTAACTGGGCGTGGTGGCTTGTGCCTGTAGTCCCAGCTACTTGGGAGGCTGAGGCAGGAAGATCGCTTGAGCCCAATAGTTTGAGGTTGCTGTGAGCTAGGGTGATGTCACTGCACTTGAGCCCAGGCAACAGAGCGACTCTGGGGGGAAAAAAAAAGCTAGAAGAAAGAATTTTGAATGTTCTTACCACAAGGAAAGATAAATATGTGAGGTAATGGATGTGTTAAGTACCCTAATTTGATCACTATACAACATATATGTGTATCGAAACATCATATTGTACCCCATAAATATGTACAATTCCAATGTTAATTTAAAAAATTTTTAAATTAAAATTAAAAATCCATATCTCCCACAGAAGTCAGTCAGTCCAAGTTGTTTACAGATATTGGTTCTACAATTTGCCTAGATGAATATTCATTAGCTACTAGATTAATACTAATATCCACGTTATACTCAGAAGGAGCTGCTGCCAAAGAGTGAAAAACTAAGGAATTTACCATCATTCAGATGCACTAGGGAAGAAGAGGGCAGTGCAGTTGGAGTCAGCCCTGAAACACCACCACTTTAAGAATGCACTGTCACAGGGGATGGCAGGGCCAAGACTTCTGTCCTGTGAACTTGAGACGCCACACTCTGCTTTGACCTCTCTCAACCTGTTTGCCTCTGGCTGCATGACCTGCAAGCTCTTCCCAGCTCTCTCTGGCTTGGCAGCTGCTGGCTATCTCCTGCTCTGGCCCAAGCCAGGCTGGCCCTGGTCCACTGGTTCAGTCGTGACTCTCTGCCTCATGGCCGTGGCTCACTCACTCAGCCTCTTGCCCTTCCTGACTCTCTTGGGAATGAAGAGCAGAGATATGCTGCACCACTGAAGATAATATTAATACACACTTGGAGGATGATATTTTTTAATTCAAGAAAGTGACTATTATAGTAGCACCTTGTAGCATAGAATTATTAAGTACTCTGTAATAGAATCTTACATATGTTTCTACCATCCTCCCCTGTATTTGTATTTTCAAGAGTTTGAAGCAATATTACATGAAATAAAATTCATAGAATAAATATGCTAAGTAGGAGAGAGACATTTAAAACCAGAAAACAATGGTCATCTTTAATAACATATGACAACAAATGACAGAAATTTACAGAGATCTACCCACTCTTCATACCAAAGTTTGTATCAAACTTAAGTATTTTACATTAGTCTAAGATTTTATGGTGAATATAAGTTAATGATGGCTCAGGAGCTCAGGACTTGATACTTTAACAGGCTAGAACTAACTTAGTGATGGAGCCAGTGTCTGGAGTATGAACTGATGTCAGACATGGTGAATTTCCAGTTAAGATGTCAGAGGATGTACTCAAAGCTCTCCTGGAAATTGAAAAAGTAACTTTTATGCTAATAGTCTTCAGATTTGCCTTGGCTCCTCGAACATATATTATTTCTTTTTGTATTTTTAATTTTTTTCCCTAGAATAGAGTTCTATTATTATAAAAATCATTGCACATTTTTAGAAAGTTTCATTAGGGAGAATTTTAGGGAGAATTTTAAATAAACACATTTAAAAGTACAGAGACTAATATGCTAAACCCTGCTGTACCCATCACCCAGATCCAATAATTATAAGCTAATAGACAATCTTGTCTTAGCAGACCCCTTGCTAAGCCCACCTATATTATTTAGAAGTCAATTCTAGGTATCCTATCATTTCTTTTTTTTTTTTTTTATTTTGAGACAGAGTCTCGCTTTGTTGCCCAGGCTAGAGTGAGTGCCGTGGCGTCAGCCTCGCTCACAGCAATCTCAAACTCCTGGACTCAAGCAATCCTACTGCCTCAGCCTCCCCAGTAGCTGGGACTACAGGCATGCACCACCATGCTCAGCTAATTTTTTCTATATATATTAGTTGGCCAATTAATTTCCTTCTATTTATAGTAGAGACGGGATCTCACTCTTGCTCGGGCTGGTTTTGAACTCCTGACCTTGAGCAATCTGCCTGCCTCGGCCTCCCAGAGTGCTAGGATTACAGGCGTGAGCCACCATGCCCGGCCTCCTATCATTTCTTTATGTATCACCAAAAGGTATAGACTATTTCTGTAAATATATCAATAATATTGCTA